CCTTACTACCCCCCTCTGTACTACCCCCCCTTTGTTAGCCTTAATTAGGCCTAATCATCCTTAAATAACTCTAATTAAGGGATGAACCAGGTAGGTAGTATAGAGGGGGGTAGTAGGGGAACCCATGATCAGAGGGAACCCTACAGTTTCCCCGCTTTCCACACAGCCGAAACTCCAACCCAAATGCTGTCACCCTGTTCCTGCCAGAGAAGGACCCCTAAATGAGCTATAGTCTAAACTCCTAGTATCACCCCTGATAACCCCATATAACCCTCCCCTATATGATCAATTATATAACCCCCTTTAAGGAGTTTAGACCCTAAACCCTAGACCCTAAACCCTATATAATCCACTATATAAATATAACCCCCTTTAAGGAGTTTAGACCCTAAACCCTAGACCCTAAACCCTATGTAATCGGCTATATAAATATAACCCCCCCTTTAAGGAAACCCTAAACCCTAAACCCTAAACCTTAGAGAATAGCTCAACTGACCTCCTGCCTCTGGGTCGGTCGCCATCCTCCGCATCTTCACCCACCAATGGGAGCCACCAACTGAGTGAGGGAGTGTAGGGGCCTAAATCGGTTTAAGGTTTAGGGTTTAGGGTTTAGATCATATACCATAATATACTATAATATAATATAACCTACTACAATATACTATAATATACCAGAATATACTATAATTTACTATTATGTACAAGAATATACTATAATATACTACAATATACTGTAGTGTAGTATAATCTCCTCACCTAAACGATTTTGAGGTCTGTTTAAAGTCTCCTATACCGCAATTTCTTCTTCCAGAAGCTAGAACCATGGCGTTGGTTATCATTTAGGCCCCCCTTTTCGTAGGGTTCAGGATTTACTATATAGACGTGAGGGTTTAAGTTAATGGTTTTGGGCTCCTGGTTCAGGAGCTTCAGAGGATGATAGGATACGACGGTGCCGATAACAGTGGCAGTAGGCCTAGCAGTACAAGTGGGATATTTTCAGCGGCAGTTAGAATCGTAACCGTGACGTGATGGCAACACAAACAGCAAAAATCAATGTGAAGCCTCCCTAAACCGTAAGAATTTGTAACATTCTCGCGGGATTTTGGAATGCGCAAGATCCTTGCGAAACTGAAGCCTTGAGGATTCTGAAACCCAGTTTAACGAAACCGGCGCGTGCGTATCTAAGGGCCCCAAAAATCGACACCAACATAATCAGTGCAATACCCCTTGGAGGGACTCACCAAACGAAGAGCCCCCATAACTTTTGGAACCCCCCCACTATCCCTGTATTCACTCACCTTGGCTTTGGCTGCTGCAGGGTTGAAAACTCAGGTCTCAGGGTTTCTCCCATCCCGCCTAGCAAAACACTCTGGCTAGTAGCTCGTTGGCATACGTGGATGCAACTGTATCAGAAAACTTCAAGCTAGAAGAAATGTCTTGAGCGCATCAGGACTGCGCTGCTCCTGGATCCAAATTGCCTGAGTCCCCAAGGACCCCTAAGCTAAAGGCGCAAGCAATGAACAAAGCACACAGATCCACAAGAACTTGCTAATGGAATACATGATATGTTGGACGACTGGGAGCAGACCAACACCTTCTACTCCTTGAGAGCAGCCCCTATATTCCTCAAGTAAGGGGTCTTGCACCCTCTGGGATTGTGGGATTTCTCCAGCTTACTGTCCCAGCAAGGGCTCGGTTAAGGAGCGTTTACGGTTTAAGGTTCTCTTCTTGGGAGATAACAGAAACTCTTTGACCCCAGGACCCTGAAGAATCAGAATATGGCATGGATTCTGGATTAGGCTGGTCCTCTGATAGTATATAGTAGCATTGAATCCCGAGAGGTGTTGATAGTCCTGTTTAGGAACATATTAGATTTGGTGTTATACGTAGGAGAGGAATTGCTATATCCAATGGCACCCCAAACCAAGCTAGGGCACCCATAATCCTACTGATAACTCACTCCAAAAACCTCAATCCTAAATACTACAGTACTTTCCATTTTCTGTTCCATTATCTCTATAGAACGCTAATATATACCCTATTACAGCAGTTTCCACTTCATTGTCCATTATACCTATACAACCCTAACATATACCATATTACAGGAGTTTCCATTTTATTTTCCATGATACCTATGTAACCCTAATGTATACCATAAACCCTAAACCCTAAACCCTAAACCTGGTTGTTCCCATTTTCTTTTGCATTATCCTTATACTGCTCTACACCTCCCTATACATACGTATATATACTTCATTGACTATCCCAACCCCGCAGGCTCCCAGTACTTTTAGGGTTTAGGTTTTAGGGTTTAGGGGTTTAGGGTTTAAGTCATTTTTGGGCACTTCAGCCCCTAGAGAGGGCTTGCTGAACAACGCACACGCACTGATTTTCGTCCTAGATTCCAAGATGACACGCCACTGGCCTTACTCACACTCCCAGTGTTTCTATACAATGTGTGGGGTGAAACAAACCTTTCCACCAGCTTGCGCGGCCACCATTGAACCTTATTGAAACAAATCCGCGCCTAACTTCAAAATCCAAATCCCAGAACGAGACTACAGACGCTCCGGAAATTGCTAAATCCAATCTGTCAAAGAACAAACAATTGGAAGCGCCAGCTACTGCCCAGTACTACCAATGGCTACTACTACTGGACCTCAGCTGTTAGACCTGGATACCCGGAACTACAGAAGCTCGGGCCCACTTCCAAGCATGGGGGAGTGTCAGAATAATAAGTGGATATTAATCAAGAGCATTGCGAAACAACAGCTCCGGCTCATTGGGCAGGACTACCTGTGTTGGCCAATTTGTCTGCATGCTCATCTGCGTTCTCGCCAATATACATCATTTCGCCCCTGCCAGCTCCAATAGGCAACCGAACATCTTTCAGATCGATCCACAGCTTTCTACCCTCGTTAGTGGCTCGCAATTGAGCCCTCCGAGCCAGCCTGTATTGTGAGGGGTGGCCGAAAGGAATCCACACCTCACCAAGTTCACTGCTTGTACTGCCAGCTGAGGAAGCTGATGCGTACCCTGCGACCATGTCACTGACCCTAGCCCACTGGGTTGGCCTGATGAACGGTCGAAGAGAGGGCAAGGGCCTATCCCTATCTCCTGTACCTGCCTGGCTTCGGCGATAGTTGAAGTGTATAGAAATAACCTTCGGATTGGTGGCCCTGTCTAATTGCATGCTCATTTCTGAAAATGTCTGGAGTGCCTCCAAAAAGGATCCCGTGGCTCGATCTGAAAGAGCCGACCTCCGCGAGGGTGGAACCATGTCGGAGCCCGAGGTTGAAATGCTGGTGCGACGCTCAGGCAGGGGTTCATCTGGCTTTTCATCTTCGCAGTCTGCAAATTCTGCATCTGTATCCAGCTTCAAGGCTAGCAGGTGGTATGCACCAGCACAGCCATGTAAGTGTGGAATGCGAACATGAAACAGATCGGCACCCACACGCTGGGCGCGGCTCGTGCGCAGGGAGATTCGCAGACACTGAGGCGTGCTTGCCTGAGAGCTGCCCGTGAATTGCTTCGACCTGCTGATGAAATTTTGGAACCGCTCCTGCTCTTGCGTATCTTGTAGGAGAAGGTTTGCGAAGACTTGACCCGTAAGTGTCTCGCTTCGGGCCAGGAGGCCCCGGAGCATGTCATTATCATCCACGACTTGCAAGGACTCATCTAGCAGAAGCTCCGCATCACTCAAGCCCCTCAGCATCCTCCGAACAGAGGCTAGCATGGACTCAGCGTCCGCGCCTCGGAACTGAGCTGCCAAGCCTTCCCTCATAGTGTTCTCCAAGACCACCAGGGAAAAGATCAGGATCAAAGCAGACAGCAGCGGAGATCCTACAGTATCGGCTGAGAGGTCTTGCCAGCCTGTAGATGCTGCAAACTGCACAACTTCTGTCAGCGCTAGGGCAACCTGGCCTGGTATGTGCACGGTGCGGTCACAATAGCAAGCAAACAATGTGAGCTGGCCAACCGTCCCCAGCTTGGAGTCTGCAAGATGACCAAACAAAAGGCACAGAATTACGACCATGTAGTAGGCAACAACGAACATCTTTAGCTGGCGGGCCTTCAAGCTGATTTTCCGAGTTGCCAGCAACAAGTGCGTAGCATAAGCAGCTGCAGCTGCGATCAGGATGCCAACCCGAAAAACCTTATCATCCTGATACATGAAAGGCAGGATAACCAGTGACATGCCATTCACATGAATCATCAGCTTGCTTGCTTCCACGTAGCTATCCTCTCGCAACTGATCCATGGCTGCATCAATTCGTTTCGTAGCTTCATCGGGGCAATGAGCTGCGCCACTCAAGCTTGCCCACAAGTATCGGGCCAGATTTCCCGCGTATTTGGTCCTAGGCTCCCCAGTAACCCATTAACAATAAGGGTACCCTTTTTCCTACTATTCAATTTTAATCAGGAGACCCCAAAATAAAAAGCGCAAAAGGGTACTACTGCGGTACCTAGGGTCACATCCTCATGGGTTATCCTCCAATGAAAATGGAGGAAAAGGACGACAGCGGCTGCGTGTGCAGCTGTGATGCTGTCAGGCGACATGGCTCGGCTGTGGCAGCTTAGTAGGATATGTATATATATATATATAGGGTTTAGGGTTTAGGGTTTAGGGTTTAGGGTTATATATATATATATATAGGGGCCAATTTTCCTAGGTTCCTAGTATGATTATAATAGTATATATTAGGTTCTATTGGGGTTATATTGGGATAATGGAAAATAAAATGGAAACCACTATGTTACAATAAGGTATGTATTAGGATAATGGAAAATAAAATGGAAACTACTATAATAGGGTAGTATATTGGGATTATATGAGGGATAATGGAAAAGAAAATGGAAACTACTTTGGGCACACTTTTCTCTTGCCGGCCCGGATGGCATAAGCTGAGCAACTCTGCAAATTGCGTTGGTAAATGCTTCTAACTTAAAGACTAGAGTGAGCTGATCTCTCAGCTTCAGTTTCCTGGCGGCTTGGCATGGACCACGCAAGTATAGTTTATCATAGTTTCCCATAGCAACTGTCGGGCTTCAGGCATGGATTCGTCCAGCTTCTGATTTCTGCTTGAGAGTGAGGAGCAGTGCACTTTGTTCCAAAAGCCAGCGCTACCTTCTTGACGGCACCTTCGATGTCCCGAAATCCGAGTCTAGCTGTTTTATGCCTGTATGGCCATTCAGTCTGAGGCTTCGGCCATACCTGCCTCCAGCAACCTTCCGGGTTAATTTCCGGATTATATATGGATTCTAGAGGGATTATATACGGATTATAGAAGGATTGGGATTATGAAGGGATTTTAGACAGGCTTTATAGGGATGATATAGGGATGAAATAGGTGTGGGGCCCTAAACCCTAAACCCTAAACCCTAACTAGTAGTTTCCATTTTCTTTTCCATTATCCCAATATATCCCGTCTATTCTATCTACTTAAGGGGAGTGGATCAACAGTAGGTGATGCAAGATTTTCTCCATCCACTGTGGCTGGAGTGCAGAGATCCTCGTTCTTTAGGGTTTGGGGTTTTGGGGTTGGGGTTTCAAGGCTTAGTGCTTGGGACCTGGTGTGAGTGTTGACTCGGAACACGATGGCTACAAGATTGTCACGACCAACACCGTAACCGGCATTATTTCTGGTACTATGAACACTTCTAGTCTTGCTACCATTGTTGTTATTTCTATATTGATTGGCATTGACAAACTTACTGACCTTGACATAGTCGCTGAGACTGTGAGAGCTCTCTCACACCTACAGGGCTGGTTCTCATAATTTGGCCCAATAATCCTTATCCTCTCTTCATCTACTATACATTCCTGGGGTCCCTTGAATAAACGTTTTCGAGGACATCCCGACATGTGCACTGGTTGCAGGACAGATCCTATGCTCTCACAGTAACCGCCTTGTTCGCAGCGTCTAAGTCAAAGTGGTACTCGTGCGGATGGTCCTAAGCACAGCAAGCCAACTTTACAAGCGGTAAGATTTTTGTACTGGTGGTTAACAAGCAATTAAGGAACGGCAAAAAAAATGCGAAGAAACACTTTCTTTAGGGTTTGTTTGTTTTTTAATCGGGCTTTGTAGCATCCTGAAAACCCTAAGGTAGAGCTAAGTACGGCTCAGCTTTTCGACATGCACAATCCCTGACCCTTCCCGCAATCGCGGGCTTCAGCACATTCTTGGGCCAAACCTACACAAGTCCTGCAGTGTCCCTCCGCTGTTTTTCATACAGGTAGCCGACAAGCAACTGGCAGAGACCCCAGGACAACCATGGCACATCAGTGACTTGGACTTTTAGGAATTAGGGTTTGGTAGGAATGGAGGATAGGGATCTCACTGGGGACAAAACAGGGGCTACCATACGGATTCACTCGTCTACTCCCTTGAAAGCACCAATAAAGCCTGTTCCATGCTGTAATCCACCTTTGACCTATCAGAGAGAATCTTATCTCGAATAATTCCTTTAGGATTACACTGCAATGTAGTTGTGAAGGGGTAAACCGTAAACCCTAAACCCCTAAACCCTAAACCCCTAAACCCAAACCCTAAACCCCTAAACCCTTAAAGACGAGCATGGTCCTGTCGGGTCTCACCATCATTGGCCAGCCGGTGGGCACCATCCACACGAGCCGGAGAGCCACCTCACAATCCAAGGCCAGAGCAAAAAAAGAATTAGTTCACAATATAGGGGTTTAGGGTTTAGGGTTTGGGGTTTAGGGCTTAGGGTTTAGGGGTTTAGGGTTTAGGGGTTACATAAGGGATTATAAGGGTATGTCTACTTAACATTAAAGGGGTTACGTAAGGGCTTATAGGGGTTACATGAAGGATAATAAGGGTATATCTGATTAGCATTATAAGGGTTACATAAGGGATGATAAGGGCTTCTAGGGTTCTACAAGGACCGTTTAGGAGACATACAGGTCTTATATGAATCAGTTGCTCACTTTGGCTCCGACCACTTGGCTGGCGCGTAGACAGATCTCGATGCTCGTCCGAAGCATCCAGGTCCCCGGCCACCTTCAGCACAAATCTGTTCTTGAGTAGCGTTCCTTTTGGTGGTTGAGCCTAGTAAGGTTATATTACTTATATAAAATACTATGCCCCAAAAGGAGGAGATAATCTTACTCTATAGTGGGTACCATAATATCCCCAAATAAAATACTGCCGTTGTGGGAGTTGCATGAGACCCAGAACAGTCCTACTCCTTGCATAGGCGGGCTCCATGGAGAACCAAGGCAAACCTCTCAATATATTTTAGTCCATTTTAGACGGACCCAGACAAATGCATTCCTGCTTTTTTTGGAAACCCTACGCCCTAAACCCTGAAACCCATAAAAGCTCTAGTCTAGACTCCTAGTATCCCCCTTAATATCTCCTATAATAGTCCCGTATATAATCCCCTCTATAACCCGTTTAAGGAGTTTAGACTATAGCTTATATGCCACTAGTTTCCTGGCAAGTCTTGCGCCTGCTCCGTACGGCTCACCATGCGGGGCACCCCTCGAAGCGAGGCGACGAGCTCCAAAGCCTGCACCATATCATGTTTAGGGTTTAGGGTTTGGGGTTTAGGGAGAGTATATATAGGGGTTATGTTGGGATAATGGAAAAATGGAAACTACTCTGTTATAATAGGGTATATATTGGGATAATGGAAAATGAAGTGGGAACGACTATGTTATAACAGGGTATATTTTGGAATAATGGAAAATAAAATGGAAACTGCTATGTTATAATAGGGTATGTATTGGGATAACGGAAACTAAACTGGAAACTACTATTTAGGGTTCAGGGTTTAGGCTTTAGGGCTTAGGGTTCACCATAGCAAACACGATGAGAATCACAATGAGGAGGCGTTTAGGGTTTTGCAGTGTAGGGTTGAGTGCAGAGGGCCGCAATTGAGCCTGATGATTTTGCCAATGTTGTGGACAATATCCCTCATGAGACAGCCCTTGTCGCGATGGGAATTGCCTCAACACTTCGTCAATTGAGCTATAGTCTAAACTCCGAGTATCCCATTAATAACCCCTATAGTAATCCCCGAGAAAAAATCCCCTTGAAAACCCCCTTAAGGAGTTCAGACCCTAAACCCTACACAGTAAATCCTAGAATCCTAAACCCTAAACCCTTACTGTAACCCTCCCTATGTAATCCCCCTTCAAGGAGTTTAGATTATAGCTCATAGGTCCAAGAGACTGCCCCTTGTTCAGCTAGTGTTATCAGTAGTCGTACTCTCGCTGTTCTCATCATCACTGGCAAGTATGGTTTAGGGTTTAGGGGTTTAGGGGTTTAAGGTTTTAGGGTTAAGGGTTTGAGGGTTTAGGGTCAAACAGTCACTACTTTTCCTCTTGCTGTTAATTTGATCTACACGGCTACCGCTACCTAACAGTTCTTGGCTTATGGTTGATTCCATACTCAACCTGTTCACTTCGCAAATGATTGAACCCTTACCATGCCTCGCTATGACTTTGCATCATTGACCTTGGGCCATGCAACTTCCCTGACAAGCTCTTTCGGCCTCAAATGGCAAGCAACAGTTATCTTCGGCAAAAGGGCGGCTCACGTCTGGTGAGCAGACTCAACTATGCAGACACAAGGCATGTTGCCTTGCTGACGTGGTGAGAGGAACATCAGGCGACGCTCAGATTATCGGTGCTGCAGCCTGTTTGCGCAATAACACTTGCTCATTATCAGTCATTAAACCCAGCATCTGAGAGCACGCACAGGGGACGGGAACCCAAGCATGGCTCAGCCACCTTCTTTGGATGGCTCGGACTACGCTGATGGCCCCTGGCGCCGGTTCCGGCGCGCTTTGTCTCGGATGCACTTCGGAATGAGTTTGTCGCACCTAGGCTACACGTGCCATGCAGATCCAACGAAGTCATTGAAGATCTTTTAGCACAGACAGCCTTTATTGGTACTGGACTTCTTGCACAATTGTGACGTGGGTGTATAAGGGACTGTATCGAAGAGGCAGGACAAACTGACCCTGGCTAGGCCATGATTTCTCAGGGCAATTCTTCGCAAGAAATTCCTAATTAAACCTTACGTAACACGTAAACCCTAAACCTTAAGCCCTTAACCTGAAACTAAACCCTGTGCAAGAATTTCATCACTGACTTGTGCCGGGCCACCAAGCAGGGACTGGCGCCGAACCTATGCTCTACTCACGAAACTTTAGCATTTTAGTCTAGGGTTTTGGGTGCTGTTGGGTGTGGGGTTTAGGGCTTAGTTTTTTGGGGTTTAGGGTTTACGGTTTTGTTTTGGGGTAGCCTGCTTGAGTTTTGCAGGGGTTTTATCGGGAGGCTTTAGGAATTCTATAGAGAGTTATAAACAGGGTTACATAGGCGAACGGAAAAGAAGAATGGAAACTAGCGTGGTACGTAGGATTGTAGTCAAGGAGTTTAGGCTTGAGGGGATTAAGGCTTAAAGGACCGAGAACACATCCCAAAGCAGATGCCAGGTCTTCATGCAAGTCGCCTGCAATGCACCACAGGAACAAGACCATCATCCATACAGCTCCTTCTTGCGCTGCCTGGCAGGATGGAACCCTAAACCCTAAACCCTAAACCCTAAACCCTAAACTCATGCATCTCATACCTAGGCGGGAAGCGAGGGATATGATGATTCCGCCGGGTCATTAGAGGGATCATATGAGCTATAGTCAACATGAAATAACCAAGGGACCCTGTCTTCACCCTCAATGATCCCTTTGTAGACTTTATATGAGCTATCGTCTAAGCTCCTATAGTATTCCCCTTAAGAACCTCTACAGTAGTCCCCTATCTCATCCCCTACGTAACCCGCATTTAAGGAATTTAGACTATAGCTCACATTGACAGTAGATAGAAAAGGTCACCACTACAGGGGCCCAGTCACATTCCCAATTGAGCGTCAGAATCAAAGGAAGGAATTCGCATGGGTTTAGGATTTGGGTTTAGGGGTTTAGGGTTTAGGGTTTAGGCTTCCCTCATACCCTGCCTGAATCACCAGGAAGATACCGGCAAGGATGGCAATCAAACTCGTCAAAGAGCATGCATCTTCCCCAATTGTCCTGAGCATTCAACCCTGAACCCTGAAGCCTAAAACCTAATTCCTACCTAATTCCTACCTAATTCCTACCTAATTAACAAGTTCACAGCACCGCAGACCCTCGAACCTTCCAAGATGCAGGATGATGAGCATCATTACCGTCATTGCTAATATAACTTAGATACTAGTACTATGATTTCTACTGCTATTATAAGGACAGAGAAAAATGGATGTTTGACTCTGAGACCCTGCCTAGCCATGAAGAAAGCTTGTCACCACATGCAAGCGTCGCCATGCCCATAATCACCTGCACCAAACCAATGATCCCTTGGATGAAGGTGATGACCTCAGCGATGCCACAGTTTAGGGTTTAGGGTTTAGGGTTTAGGGTTCGGGAACCGAAAGCAGGTGTAAAACCAAAAACGCATGACGGTCAGGCCAAATACCAGAGCGCACAACACAATTGAAGGACTTCACCATCGGGGACCCAGCTCACATAACTCCACAGACGGAGCAATATATTTACTACATTGCAACCACCTTAGTACTACATTCGTATTACATTACTACTATATCTCATAATATTCTTACTCTGTATATATATATATATAGAGCCCCCCTTAAGTAGACAGAATATGGCTTTGGGTACATTTTAATAAGATCCCCATATACCCCATACTCTATCTACTTTAGGGGGACTATACCCTAAACCCTAAATAGTAGTTTCCATTTTCTTTTCCATTATCCCAATATCCCCCCCCCATATTCTATCTACTTAATGGGGACTATATGTATATATATATATACGTACTTGCTATCATATTGTTACCATGGTATGGACAAAGAGCAACCTGTCCCTGAAGTGAACAGCACAAGCCGAAATCTGCAAGTGGACTCCTTTGTAGGGTTTAGGGTTGAGGGCGTAGGGTTTAGGGATTAGGGTGTAGGCTTTAGGTTTCAGGGCTGCGGCCATTAGGCGTACACCCACACAGGTCCCAAATGGTTCTTTCAGAACGGGGAAGCCCATTATATATGACTACCCTGGATCGGACATCTCTCCCAAAAGCAGCTCCCACGATGTCAAGACATATGAGCCATAGTCCAAACTCCTAGTGTCATTTTAATAACCCCTATAGTAGTCCCTTATACAACCCCTCATATAACCCCTCATAAAAACCCCCTTTAAGGAGTTTAGATTATGGCCCATAATATAGGGATTTAGGGTTCAGGGTTTTGAGCCTCAGGCCATGTTTTTGACAATGTCGCACAGAAAGCCGCTCCGTGATGGCACCGGGTTTCCTGTCATGATGCAGGACGGCTTGCTGTTCAACACTTGCATCACAACAAGAAGCTCTATGCTCAAATACCACAAATAAAAATAGCAGTAGTAATAAGAGTATTGCTAATGCTAATAATAAATGGTAGTACTGTAATACTGATCACAATAAGAATACTAAGAATAAGAATAGAGCTTTGATGTTCAAACTGAGTCATAACTAGCAACTGCTTTCAAACAAATCATGCTCTCTGCCGAGAATCGCATGATCGAGTAACACCCGCATGCAAAGTCCAGTGAGCGGATCCCGAGCAAAACCTTAGCGCTCAGTCTCATGAATCACTGTCTAAGCTCCTAGTATCCCCCTTAATAACCCCTATAATAGTCCCCTATATATTCCCCTATACAATCCCCCTTGAAGGAGTTTCGACTATGGCTCTCATGAATCTCCGCAACTTGGATAAACGAAGGTAGCCTTGCCCTGCTTTTCTCGCACCAGAAGATCTAAAGCTTGCATGGCATGCTTTAGGAGGATCCCCCAATAGTGGTATAATAGGAATATGAGAGGACCCTAATATAATCCTTACTATTCCTTATAGTCACTATTACTGGGTGGGGGGTCCACCCAAGGCATGCTGCTGCAGAAGGGGGACGAAAGAAACAATCCAAATGTTGCTGGAGCAGTCGCTGGCTGCCACAAGTTTCACCTGAGGGGCACATCACTTCTAACGTCAGGCTCAGCAATGCGGTCCTTTCGAAGGATCAGCCGTAGCTGTTGCTTGTCGTCTGTTGCCGCAAAAGTTAGCAGCAACTAGTGGTGTCTGAAACAAAACTGGCTGACGAACTGCCATGCTGGGTCTGAAAGAACAGGCACCATTCGTTGCATGCCATGGGCTGTTCGCGGACCGCTTGTCAAATCCAGGTCAAATCGACTGCAAGTAAGCAAAGCAACGCATCTGTTCAAGCTTCATACCATCGCTACCTGCTGCATCCTGCTGCATTTGGTAGTTTCCCAAAGTAAGGGGACCCCAATACAGACCCAAAAATACTATAGCCCAGATGGTAGCCCTAGTTTTGGACCCCGTTTGCTGGTTCCATGATTCCTGTGACTGCGCATGGTCCCATTCCTACCTTAAAGGCTGGTGGAAGCAACTTCAACTCCTCTTGAGAAACACCTCTACTTTGATGACCATCAGTACTTACTGGTTGTTAGTAAGGAATATGGGAATGTAATCCCTAGATAACCCTATATAGTATGTTCATGTATATTCCCATATTCCCCAGAAACTTCCAGTAAATATCGTTACGCCTCGCTATCTGATGTTGTCAAGGCACGAGCATCCCACCAACTGCTGCAGCGAAACTGATGAATACAGCAGCGAAAGCATCCTGGAGTAGGCAGGGGCGGGTTTAGGGTTTGGGGGTTTAGGGTTTGGGGTTTGGGGGTTGAGGGTTTAGGGTTTGGGGTTGGGGTTTGGAAGTTAAGGGTTTAGGTTTACGGGTTTGGGGTTTAGGATTTGGGGTTTAGGGTTTAGGACATCCAGCATGTGGGTTGGGCCAAGAAAACAAGATCATACAGGCTTTTGCTGCCCAAGTGTCCAAATTCAAACCAGACACTCTGCCTACAGACAGCGGAGCAAAGAAAACAAGGCCGTTGAGCTCACATCGCCCCTAAATCGTAAGCCCTAAACACCTAACCCTAAACCACTAAAGCACAAACCCTAGGCCCGAAACCCTGAACAAAAGCAAAACTAAAGCTTCAGGGCAAGGGAGCAGTGAGACAAGCACGCGCAAATCACAATCCAAAAGAGACCATAATTTTGACAACCATCCACATAACCCCTAGATAATCTCTATATAACCCTAATATTACCCCAATATAACCCCACTGTAACGCCTAAGATTGCGGAATCTGACACACTGAGGCAGGCACGTACGTGTAATATGCATTGACAGCCTTGGGATTCAGCGCTGGTATGTGGGTTTTGCCATTTGCTGCTGGGTCACTGCCGGGTGCCAACTGTAGGAAAGGCTTAGGGTTTAGTGTTTAAGTAGGGTTTAGGGTTTAGGGATTAGCGTTTATTCGGCTGGCTTTCAAACTTGGAAAAATGACAGAGCTGGATGTAGCTACATGAGCTATGATCTAAACTCCTAGTTTGCCCCGTAATAATCTCTACAATGCTCCCCTCCAGAATCCCCTATATAAGTATATAACCCCCTTTCAGGACTTTAGACCCTAAACCCTGTAAACCCCCCTGAAGGAGTTGAGGCTCTAGCGCACATGCTGGAAGGTCAACCCAACAGCAAAAGGACGTAGCGCATGAGGATAAAGTGCTTACAGCAGGTCCGCGAACCATGCTCGACTTGGGGTCCCTTTAAAGGGTTTTATAGGGGGATATATAGGGACTATATAGGGACTATATAAGGGTCCAAGGACCCAAATTATAGGGTTTTAGGGCCCAAATACTATAATCTTAATGGTGCTTGGGCCCTAAAACCCTATTATTTGGGCCCTTGGAGAACTTAGATTAAGTGACCATTATAGAGGGATATAGGGTTTATAGGGCTTAGGGTTACTGCTGGTGTGAACCAGCAGGATGTGTAGAGGATAAGAGTGGATTTGCAAGATCC